GAGCAAAGAGCTGGTTTACATGGGCCATGTGTCAGCACGCAGCTTCCATGCTTCCTCAATGGGTTTGCATCGGTTCCATCTGGAGTTCCTATTTGTAGTCTGGGATGGGGTGGAAAGCAGGACATAAACCAAGAACAGCCTGTAGGAGGGGCACAAGAATACTTCGGCCCTAGGACAGACTGTTAGGAGACTCCAGAATATCTCTGGATGTGCTATTGTCCAGCAGGGTTGAGAAGGAAAGCAGGCTAACCAGGTTACACTGGTCTCCTTTTACTTAATCTGACTTAGGATCAAGTGTACTGATGGGGTTTCAGGAAAGAATGACAGAGTTCCATTGTAACGGGACAGTACTCGAGTGTCCTGTGAGCACTGTACATCACAGAACATCAGTCCCAGCAGTCTGGAAGTTCATGATGTTCTTGAGTACAACTTTAATGTGTTTCCTGCCCTTTTTGTGCTACCTGGAAGTGCTTTAGCATGTTACTTCATTTGTACCAAGATACTGCCAGGGGGCCAGGATGGTTGTCTCTGAAACCTTCACTGGCTTTGGTATCTGGGTGTGCCTCAGGATGGGGGTTTGACACTGGCTGAGCAGTTGTATGCCTGCAGGTGCTGTGGAATCCTAGAGGCTGGTTTTTCTTTCCAAACCAGAAAGAACTTACCCCAGGCTCATCCTCTGAGCTCGCTGCCACCTCTCAGGGTTTTGTGATGGTGCACCAGTTCCACCACAAGGGATAGGGAGATTGCTTCTGGAGGAGCTTCAGCATCAGGGCTGGTGCACCAATTCCACCACAAGGGATAGGGAGATTGCTTCTGGAGGAGCTTCAGCATCAGGGCTGGCACATTATCAGTGTCTTCCTCAAGGAACGTGGGTCTTGACTGTGGTGCTGCCTCAAGGCTCAGAGAAGTGAACAGAGCAGAGAGTGCCATAAGGGTCATACTTCATGCCTGTGACGTGCTTGTCATTCGGTGCTGGTGGTGTGGGGATAGGGATCTCTTTGCTGAGCCAGACCTTGTGACTCTCTGTCTTGACCTCAACAGATACCCAGACACAGCAGAACAACAACCCGTTTGGACGCTACTGATCCGTAGCACTTCAGCCTGCTCCAGGAGGCAGATGTCACTGTGGACTGCACACAGCCTCTCCAGCCTGACCCTCAAGCTGGGGCTGGCGCAACCTTTGTCCTGTGGCCAGTGCTGCTGCTGCCTATCTCACAGGGAGGTGCCAGGAAGATGGTTTTGTTGTACAGAGAAAGTGTTTTTACTATCCAATTTCTACAGATGTTTATGGAGATCCCTTGTGGCTCATAGTCTCCCTCCCCACTTTAGTTTCAGTTTTTACTCAGTTTTTAGTATTTTTGTTAAAATAATGATTAAGACATTGTAAAATTTTGTATTTTATTTATACCAGATGAACCCTGTACTGCAGACATTCTTGGATGAATACAGAGAGCTTACTTTGCAAAAGAAGTGTGTGTTCAGAACCTGCCTTTCCTCCTCAGCACTCCACCCAGTACAGCCCTGCAGTACCTCCACACGTGGTCACTTTTCCCCAGTAGAACTAATGTATGCCTTTTCAGCTTTTGTGAATGGCTAGTTTAGCTTGGGCAAGCAAGTCCTTCCTCTGTGTTTGTTTCATGAGCTGGCGTTCATGCACTTGCAAGGCTTTGCATGTTCTAGAGTTTTACTACTGGCATGTTCCACCAGGACAGAGGCACAAAGCAAAGAGGGACTTGCAGTGCAGGGCAGTCCTGAGCCCTGACAAGCCCAGCTTCCCGGGCACAGCAGGTACTGAGGCTCAGGCTGGTACCTCTGCAGTCAAGGAGGAGCTGCAGACCAAATGTGCTCACAGTACTTTTTTCACAGCACAGTTTTGCTAATAAGCACCAAAGCTCCTCTGTTCACTGCTTCCTGACAGCCACAGTGCTTTGTCTGGATGGGTAACGTGCTGCATTCTCAACTTTTGACCTGGCTAATGCAGCATGCTGGCATGGAGTCATGCCTCTGTCTCTACAGCAGCCTGCTCTAGTTTAGTGCTCTCTGTTACTGCTGTCTGTTGGAACCTGGAAACCACCTTTCTTCTCTCTTTGGTTCTTCCTCAGCATTTTGCTTATGGACCATTTGACCTGTGGTTCCCCTGGTAGCTTTTCTTGGCCAGTGCCTTCTGTCCCATCTGTGTGGGATAGGGTGAGGTTCACAGGGACTTACGGAAAAATTACCTTTGATCTTAATCTGAGGGCACATAACAGTGTTGTAGGGTAGGCCACAGCAAGAAGGCAAGTTCAGGGAGTGGAGAGGAAGGAGGGATGCTGAGGCTCTAGCCCTCAGACCCATGTGCTGGCAGATGTGCCTCCGTCTGCTGCCCCAAGCATTGGATCTGCTCACCTCACACTGCATGTCCCCTGGATCTCTGTAGGCTCCTGCCACCTCGTTGTAGGTGGGGTAGGAGATGTTGCTGGTCAGGCCTGATGGAGATGGGCACTCTTCCCTGTTCAGGAGATGTGCACAGAGCTGTTTGCCCCTTCCGTAAGGATCAGGCTGGGGAGCATCCAGGAGCTGGCTGTGAGATCTCCTCACACCCCAGGGGCTCTGCTTTCCTCCAGCCTGTGCCGGGTGCCCCAGGAAATGGAAGCCCTGCTTACTCTGGAGGAGGGCTGGGCAGGAGTGCCTGGGCCAGCAGAGCCCACACTGGGCAAGCTGGGCACTGGCTCTGGCCAGAACAAGCCCCTGTTCCTGGTGTGTGCTGCCGGGGCTTGCAGCTCCCTGCTCGCCAGCCCTGGGAGGCAGCTGGGTCCGTGCCAAGTGGCGTCTGCATCCACAGGGTGTCTGCATCCATGCAGTGGCAGAGGTGGGAGGAGGAGGGCTCTGCAGGCAGCAGCCGGCACCGGAGCGGGGTAGCAGGAGGCAGCACGGCTCTCGGCAGGGATGCTGGAGAGAACGGAGCCGGGTGCTGCCCTCCTGCTTCGTGTCTGGTGAGAGCACGCCAGGCCCGCGCAGCCTCCCTTGGGGCAAAGGGATGATGTGTCCCTTCCTGGGGCTCGGTGCCGGTGCGGGGTGAGCAGGACCCCAGAGCTCCGCTGTGGTGGCAGTCGGAGGGCTCCCGGTCTCCAGCTTCTGGCTGCCAGAGGTTCCCCGGGGGTGCAGGAGGCTGCAGCATGCTGTGGGACTGGGCACCCCGGGAGCTGGGCTCTGCCCAGGCTGCCTGCATGCCTCGGAGCCGCTGTTGCTGTGCTGCACGTTAGCACCGAGCAGCTGCAGCTTTCAGCAGGTCTGACGGCTTCCAGCCCTGCTCCTCCTCTAAACGCTGCTTGTAAGAGAGCCGGGGGCGGGGGGGCTCATTGGATGCTGCCCATTGAGTAATGCGAGCAGCTGCCCTTCTGTGGCCACTGCTCCGGGGTGGCAGTGTTCGGTGCTGCTTCCCCGGGGCGGAGGGGCAGCCCCAAGGGGTGCCTGGGCAGGGTCCATAAGCGGTGTGGGTCCAGCACGTGGGGAGAAGCCTGAGGTTGTGCAAAGGCTTGGCACAGTGGAGTGACGGGCAGACAGGAGCAGGCTGTGTCCCACGCACTCCCCCACCCACTCTGCCAGTGCCCAGTGCTCCCAGCGTGGTGCCCATTGTACACCATGACCCTGTCCTGGGCTGGTTTTGCCTGGCAGTGGAGCAGAGGGAGCCCAGCCTGCTGTGGGGCAGCTCTGCACTGGTCCAGGGGCCCCTTCAAGATGCTTCTCAGGGCTGATGAACCCTGGTGGGCACTAGGCAGGGTTGTACATCCATCCCACAAGGTGCTGGACCACGCTGCCTGCTCAAGGGCGTACAGAGTTGGCGGTGTGCTCACCCTCGCTGTCAAGCTGCCACCCACGGTCCCTGGGAGAGGGTGTGGGACAGGAAAGCTCGGACCTGTTCTGCAGCAGGGAGAACGTGCTGGGGCCGCTGAAGCCCAGGCAGAGCAGGGTGCCAGAGATCTCCCTGCGCCTGGATGTTCAGCAGCTCAGTGTGTGTGCTGGGGACATGGGAGCACTGGAATCGGTGCCTGCCCTCTGCATGCTGCCACATGAGCAACTTAAACGAGAAGCGGCGGCTGCTCTGCAGAGCCTGGGTAGGGTCTGGGTTGCAGCTCTGCCAGCAGGAGCGAGGCAGAGCCCAGCTCCCCTCGTCGGGATCGGAAGACGTGGATGTGTGCTGGTAACTGCACGTCCTCTTTGATCAGGCATTGCAGCTGCCTCTGTCCTGGCTACAGCAGAGAGATGCAGAGACCAGACGCATCCAGCAGGATTCAGATCCATGCCCTGTTTCAAATGCTCTCTAATCCCATCAGGCAGCACTGGAGCAGAGGTAGCCCCACCATGGGCAGAGGCCGGCTGGAGGAGAGGCGGCTCCTGCCAGTAGGCTCTGAGCGAAGGGAAGAGATTCCCCCCAGGGGAAAGGGAAATGACCAGAGGTGCTGGGTCTTGCTGCACGGTGCTGCTGGGGCCTGTGCGTGGCGGGGGATGCGGGGGGGCAGAGGCTGGGATGGGACATCCCTCACTGGGATCTGGCCAATCCTCTCTGAAAGAGCTAGGCGCTGCAGAGCAGTGGTAGAGCCTGGGGCTGCTCCCTTGGTATGGTTCTTGAAGGTGTGGGATGCTGCCGGTGCAGGCAGGTGCGCCGGGGCTACAGAGCCTGGAACTATGCGGGACGGGGGGGGGCAGGACCCATGCAGAGGAGCGGGGGAGGGTTCATGATGCAGCGGGGCAGGATTCTGGGCTCCTGTGCTGGTGCAGGGTGCCGGGGTGGTGCGCGATGGCGGGGTGGAGATGCCCGGGGTGCTGCAGGGTAGCAGAGGTTGCCGGCGTGGGGATGCTCCTACAGACGGGGTCGTTGGCCAGGGGTGCAGCGCGCCCCCGGGTGTGCGGGTGTCCGGTGGGGACGGGGGGCTCACGGTGGCCGGAGGGTGCCCGGGGGGTGGGGGGCCAGGGCCGCCGGCAGCGAAGGGGTGCCGAGGCACGGCCCCGCCCCCGCCCGCCCCCCGTGCACGCGCCGCGCGCTCCCGCTGCCGAGGCCGGCCGGATCGAGAGGGGCGCGGAGCAGCCACTGCCGCCACCGGCATGGCCCAGCCCCGGCAGCCCCGGCGGTGAGTGCGGCCGAGCCGGCCCGCACCGCGGTGGCTCCGGCGGGGGGGAAGGGGCAGGCCCCGATGCGCGGTGGTCTGGGACCGGCCGCCGCGGAGGTGATGGGGCTCCAGGGAGGGCGGGTGGCCGCGGGCCGGTGCCGATGGGGGGGCGTCGGGAGCCGGGCTGGGCTTCGGGGCGGGAGTTACCGGGTGGTGCCGAGCGCTGCAGCGGGGACCGGCGGGGGTTAACGGGGCCGGATGAGCGGCCGCGGCGAGCCGGCGGGTTGCCATGGCGACGCTCTGAAAGGGGGATTGTGCGCCCGCCTCGGCTGCGCGGCCCCGGCCCGGCGCGGCCCCGGCTGGCCCCGTTCCCTGCGGAGCAGCCGCTGTCCCAGCGCCGGTGTTCCCGCTCCGGCGCCATGCGGGGTGCAGGGGAGGGGGATGCGGACGGGGGGGTGTTTATTTGGGGTGCAAGGATGCGCCGGGTGCTGTCCGGCATGAGGCTGCCGTCGTGAGTACCCCCAGGTCAAGGGCGGGCAGGAGATCCCCGTGGCTTACATTAGTGGCCATTGTATGGGGAATTACATTGGCCATTGGGCTTGTGGAGCATGGGGAATGACATTGGTAGTCGGGCTGCTGGAGCTGAAGGGCATCATTCCCTGTCTCTTGGGCAGTCAGCCAGGCTGAAGACAAGCTCAGTGGCAAACGGGCTCTACCGTGCTGGTGGTGCTGATCCCCGGGCCATGTGGTGAGCCAGGCTCACGGTGCTGAGTTGCTGGTGGCTCTGTTGAGGCGCACTGAGATTTGCACCATTTGCCTGAGTTTGGCTCTGTTGTGCTCAAAGCCATGGAGCAGGACAGTGTGGTGGGTGATGCTCAGCACCGGCGCCTGCCCATGCCTAGCGCTGTTGGCAGTACGGGAGAGGAGAAGCGAGGAGGGATGCAAGGCCTTTGGCCAGTCTGTTTCTGGACTATGATCTCCCAAATGATGGCTTCTCCTGGTGCCTCCATTGGCAGCCCTTCCCAAGGCCACGGGCCTCCTCTGAGGAAGTGGCTCTGCCATGGAATCCCTGTGGCACTGGAATTCTCTTTTTGTCCTTTGTGGGTGCCTCATTTGATGCCATAGGTGAGGGCAGAGGGGCTGGAGGTGCCCTTATGGCCAGGCTGACAGACCCAGCTCCCCTTGAGCCCCTGCACTGGCCATGCTTTGTGTCAGCCTGGTGGGACCTTCCTTCCTCTGAAAACCAGGGTGGAATAGGGGGGCATCTGCAGCTGCACAAGGGGTGGATGTGTCCTCAGGGGCTGCAGGGTACCAAGGCAGGGGTGATGCACCAGAGCACCTGTGCCAACCCTGAGGTGCCTCTTCCCACCCGCAGGCTGCAGGTAGCCACCCCCAGAGCTGGTGTCTGCAGAATGGTGGCGGGCTGACATTTAGAGGTCACACTGAGCACGGTGCATGTGTTTGCTTCATTTGCATTCGCAGTTAGCCCAGCTCGAGGCTTTGCCACTCACATGTGCAGTTGCCATGGTTACGTGTGCGGCCGGGATGTGGAGTTGGGTTGGACACCTGCAAACACACAGCTCAACCTTGGAGCACTGGGGCACGGGCGGGCGCTGCCGAGACGCAGGGCAGCCCTTGCCCCCCCCGTGCTGAGAACCTGCAGAGCCCATCTCAGTATGGTCTGTCTGTGCCTTGCACGGCCTCAGCCACCCGGGCTCAGCACGGCAATGGCTGAATGTGAATCTAGGGCAGTGCTGTGGAAGAGGAAGGTTGAGCCCATGCCAGCCTGTTGCTCCATTCGGCTCTGTCTCTTTCCCAGACCCCATGTAAAGGCTCTTCTCCCAGAGGGGTGGAGAGCATGTGCTCAGGAGCCGGGCAGTGCTGGTGGCACGGTGCGGGCTGGCAGCGCCTTGCCAGCGGGCAGGGGCCTGCTGAGGCTTCAGAAGGCAGCAGGAGAATCGGCAGAGCCTGCAGCAAGGCTGCAGCTGAGGTGGCTGCATCTCTCCAGGCTCTCTGTGGGGTCTGCTGCGGGTGCTCAGGTCCAGCACAGGCAGGGTCTGGGTGCATTTTAACCACGATCACACTTGAGTCCATGAGAGAGAACAAGGACAGAGTGACTGCCAAAAGCCTCTGGCAGGTCCACGCTGGCCTTGTCTTTCTGTCAAGGGAGAAGGAGGTTTAGGACAGCAAGTATGGAAGGCACCTTGAGGTGATCGAATCTCTAAGCTCCATCTAAACCATTCCTGAGCAGCATCAGCTCAGCCAGCTCCTAAAGCTCCCCCACCACAGCAGTTCTGTTGCCTCCCAAGCAGTTTGCTGCTGTCTTCCCATATCCTTCCTGCTAGGAGCTACTCCTTTGCAGCAAGTGGAGGCAAATGGAAGCCCTTTTTGATCTGCAGGAGCAACTGTGACCTCGGACAGACCAGTGTGGGGTAACTGGTGGCAGCTGGAGGAATTCAGCAACAGGAGGAGGGTGGGAAGTGATGGGGATGTGGAGCATGTGTCTGAGCATGAACTGCGCTTGAGCCATGGAGGAGGCTGTGAAATCTCATAGCAGAGCATGGAGGGGCTGAGGAGCTGCTGTCCTGGGGCTGTGCAGCGTGGGCAGAGGGACGGGGCAGGTACAGCTTGGTTCTGTCCCTAGAGCTCTTGGTACCACTGGGGTGGGACAGTTGTTTGCTGTCTGCAGGATCCCAGCCAGAGGTTTCTGCCTCGAAGGTCTGTGGTTATTGGCTGCTGCTGACAGGGAGTTTCAAAAGATGCTCCTTAAGCAGGGTTTTGTGTTTGTCTCCAAGTGGGTCTTGGATCTGCATGGGGGAGGGTGGGGGTACATCAGCAGAAGGAGATGGGTTGGATCCTGCTGCTGGGCTGCTCAGAGCTGTCATAGCTCAGTGGTGCTGCATGGTGGATGCGATGCTGTGGTGGTCTCCTAACGTGGCCCCGCGGTTGGGGCTGTGCCCGGCACATTGTGCCGGCCTTGGCAGCACCACAGCGCGTGTGAGGGGAATGAAGAACAGGTCCTGCAACTGCCAGTGCTGGCAGCGTGACCCCACGTCATTCACATCCTGCAGCGAGCCTGACTCTGGGGTCATGGGGAGAAGTAGGAGCAGTGGGAAGACAAGGGGGCTTCTGGCTGTGGCTGCCGGGTGTGTGCAGCTCCTGGAAGCTTTCCTTGGTTAGGAGGAGATGCGCTGCCTGCCTGGAGGCTTGTCTGGGCTCAGTAGTGATCCGGTATTGCAGCTCCTGATGGAACCTGTGCTCCCGCTTAGTCCTGCAGTTGCATGGGGAAGGTCTGCCCCTTTTGCTGTGTTGTCCGACGGCAGCGGGGCAGGGAGGGGGGAGTCACAGTGCCTGTGAGCAAGACTTCACGCAGGGGAGCTCTGCTTGGGCTGAGGCCGCCCTGGCAAGGAGCTCAGGGATCGCTGGAGAAGCCTCATTCCTGACGCTGCACAGTGCACAACGGGGGAGCCGGTCTGTTCTTTCCAAGGTGCGCCTCGGGGGTGTGTGCCCTGCGAGGAGCCGTGCCTCTTCGGGGGCCAAGGAGCCACCATGGCCATGCCAGAGCAAAGGCTGGTGAGGGTTACAGCACTCACACCGGGCAGGGGCTGCTGATGCTCTCTGAGGGTGAGGATGGTTGGCAGAGGAAGGCTTTTCACCTGGGCTTGGAGAGCAGGCTGCTGGGAATGGCCTTTGGTGTGTGATGCGGCTGCAGGCACTTTGCCTCCATTAGGCATTCCTCAGCTGCTGCTCTACAGGAGTGGGAGAAGAAGCTCCAGTCCATCACGTGGCCAAAGTGTCTGCATGCCACTCGCCATGGAGTGAGTGTCCTGGTGCTGGCACCAGTGCTAAAGGAGTTGTCCAGGGGAGTCTGAGTCCGGCTGCCTTCACACCCTTCCTCTACTCCTACGTGACTCCAGGCACCACTGAGCAACTTGAGGGATCGTGGGACAGTGATGCAGGAGAAGAGGAGCCGCCGCTCTGTGTGTCTGCCTCTAGAGCTGCCCAGGGGAGCACTGGAGAGCCCTGTTGAGATCCTTGTGCAGTCAGATGCCTGGAGGTTGCAGCAGGAACAGTCAGAGGTCTGATGGCCCTGTGCAAAATGGCTAAAGAATGCAGGGCTCTTAAAACAGGAAAAGAAAGAGCAGAAGATGGATAAAGTATGTCTACAGGAGGCCGTGAGAGAAGGCATGGAGGTTAAGTGTTCACTGTTTCCTTCTATGCAAGTACAAGGTCGCATCAGATGAAGCCGGCAGGAGGTGCCAAACAGGAGGAGGGGCACTGCCTCTTGCAGATGTGCTGTCAAACTGCAGAAGTCCTCAGAACAAGGTGTTGTGAGCAGCAAAACCTTACATGGGTTCCAGGAGAAACAGGATGAATTCCGAAAGGACAAGAGGCTCCCTCAGAACCCAGAGATACACCCAGATGTACCTCTGACTGCTGAACTGCAAAGTGCTCGTAGGTCTGAGGACTGTCCAGAATGTACACAGGGCAAGGTGGGCCCTTGGCCTCAGCTGTTAGTTTCATAACGATGTGCCTGCCAGCAAGGGTGGAGCCAGAAGGGAGCACTGGGCTCTGGTGAAGAAGGATGGGTTTATCCTCATCCATCTCTTGTGCTCCTCTGCTTGGCACAGAGTGACAGATTCCTGCTCAGTCCCACTTATTCAGCACAGGCTGCTCTCCCCACGTGATGGAGGTGCAGCTGGTTGGAGAGGTGGGACCTGTGCTAAGCACCAGTCCTCTGTCTCGGCATCACAGCACCCTTTGCTGGAGTCTTCTGATGGAATCTTGTCCTCTGACCAATTGCTAATTCAGTTGGTTTGAAAATCATAGAATTGGTATCAAAGAACTGTCTGGGTTGGAAAGGACCTTCAGTGGTCACCTAGCCCAACCCCCGGCCATGACCAGGGACATCTTCAACTAGAGCAGGTTGCTCAGAACCACATCCAGCCTGGCCTGCAATGTCTCCAGGGATGGCACATCTGGATGGCAATATCCCTTCCCTCCTGTCTCACCTGGCAGTT